AGGCCGGCCAAGAGGGCTTCATATTCCGCCTTGTTGTTGGACGTGTGAAAATCGAAGCGCAAGGCATACATGAGTTCTTCTCCCGTTGGGCTAGTTAGGATCAGCCCTGCACCTGATCCTTCTTTGCTGGAGGCCCCATCTGTGTGAAGATTCCACCGCTGGTTGTCCTTTTTCTTTGAGCATACTTGATTGTCTGCCTTGGTTGCTTCCTGCTGAAGTTCTCCTGGAACTTCGAGCAGGAAATCCGCTAGGGCTTGCCCTTTGATGCTTGCTCTGGGGTGGTAGGTGATGTCGTGCTCTCCTAGCTCTATGGCCCATTTTGCAAGTCGCCCTGACGTCTCTGGCTTCAGGAGAATTTGTTTGATCGGGTAATTTGTCAATACTTCTATTTGGTGGGCGTGGAAGTACCGACGGAGTCTCTGCACTGCGTAGACTAAGGTGAGCACCAGTTTTTCGATGACCGGGTAGTTCATCTCCGGTCCTTGTAGTGCCCGACTTATAAAATAAACTGGTAATTGGCGTCCCTGTCTGTCGACCGTTAGTACCGACGAAATTGCATCTTTTGATGTGGACATGTACACTTGCAATACTTCTCCGGGTATCGGGCTGGCAAGGGTGGGGAGTGTGTGGAGTACTTTCTTTATCTCCTGTAGTGCCGATTCAGCTTCTGTTGTCCATTTGAAGTTGTTTTTGTCTATGCATCCTTTCAGCGTGTTGAACAGTGGCATGGCTTTCTCAGCCGACTTGGAGACGAACCGACTGAGTGCGATCAACTTTCCATTCAGGGCTTGTGCGTCCCTCAGCGTGTAAGGTGAAGGTGTTTCCTCTAGCTCGTTTACCTTGATTAGGCTTGCCTGGATCCCTTCCTTCGTCACATAGTATCCCAAAAATTGGCCCTCTTCGACTCCAAAAGTGCACTTGGCGGGGTTTAATTTCATCCTAGTTTTTTCCAGAGTCTGTAACGTTTCTTCTACATCTCGTAGCAGCGTTTTCTCGTCTGGGCTTTTTATGACCATATCATCGACATAGACTTCAATGTTCCGACCGATTTGGTTGGTGAACAGGGAGTCCACGAGCCGCTGATAGGTTGCCCCTGCATTTTTTAGTCCAAACGGCATTTTTGTGTAACAGAAAGTGCTATGATCCGTGTAGAAAGTCGTTTTCTCTTCATCGTTTGTACTCATCAGTATCTGGTGGTATCCCTTGTATGCGTCCAGGAAGCACTTCCATTGGAAACCTTGTAAAGACTCTACCTTTTGGTCTATTTCTCGTAGCGGGTAACAGTCTTTGGGACATGCTTTGTTTAGGTCGGAGTAGTCAATGCACATGCGCCAGCTACCATCATTTTTCCTTACCATTACCGGGTTGGCGATCCATGTGGGGAGAATTGCTTCTCTGAGAATTCCTGCGCTGGTTAGCTTTGCCACTTCCATGTTGATTGCCTTATTTCGATCCCCTCCCTGGACCCGCTTCTTTTGCTTCATCTCCTTGTTTCCCGGCTTTATCATCAGCTTGTGTTCTATGATTCCTCGATCGACCCCTACCATGTCAGCGGGGGTCCATGCAAACACATGTTTGTACCTTTTTAGTAGTAGGACGAGTGCTTCTCTTGTTTTTGGGGGAAGGGCCGTTCCTACGGTTACCCGTTGGTCTGGGTGCTCCCTGTTGACCACTTCTCCCCCGTCCGACAGATCTGGTCTTGGCCTTTTGGTTTCTGCTGAGATATCTTTTGGTTGCATGATTTCGTAACATTTGAGTTCCTTAAGTGGTGTGGCCAGAACTATGCCCGGCCCTTGACTTGTGCTGAATTTGACTATCTCGTGGACCGTCGATGAGACTGCTCTGAATCTTAATAGGGTTGTGCGCCCCAATATGATGTTGTGTTCCGAGGGGTGTCGTATGACTACGAAGTCGATAGGGCAGTCCGTCGTCTAGTTTTGTCCTGACTGACTAACGTGAATGGTAAGTGGATCATACCTAGCGGCCATAGGTTGTGCCCGGTGAATCCCGTGAGCTGGCCGGTGGCTGGCCTCAAGCCTTCTTTCCACACGCTTGGCAACAGTCTGAAACAGTGCTCATAGATGATGTCTGTTGAGCTTCCAGTGTCGATGTATACCTGGTGGATGACTGCATTCTTGATCGATCCCTGGATGACCAGGGGGTCGTTCCCATTCCACCCGGTCGGGCGTGGGTCGTGCATGGAGAACGTCAGCCCCTGTATTGCCTCTGTGATGTCTCGCGTGTCCTCAATACGCTCCGCCCTCCCCCTTTTGTGGTGGATTGCTAAAATCTCCAGTTTTGGCTCTACTTTTCTGGGAGCGTCTTTTGGGTTGTCTACGTCGAACTTAGCTCGTAGACTTTTGGGGATTTCTATCACATTGCCTTACAGCTGTTTTTCTTCGATTTCCCTTTTTAGCACCGCACAATTGACTGTGTCGTGTGTTCGACTCTTGTGGTACTCGCAGTACCGCGTTTTAGTGCCTTTTGTTGCTGGCTTCTCATCGACCGTGTATACTTCTGTCCTTCTACCCCGCCTGTCGTCCCTAGAGAAGGGTCGAAAATGGCTTAGCGGTCGCCTGTCTCAACTCATGAACCTGTTACCTCCCCGGGGGTCGAGGGGAATTGTGGGGTAGTTGTTACGCCTACCAGCAGAGGTTGTCATGGCATTGAGGTACGCCTGCTTTGACGCTTCACCCTCCCCGTGTCATCAATGGTGTATGTGTTCCTATCCATGCAAAATTTTCATTTCCAACCTACAATAATAAGATAAGGTCGAGGACAAACCAAAATCAAATTTAGTTTCCTTTCATGAACTGAACTTAGTTTATTCTTAATTTCTTGCATTCCGGTGCACAAGGGCCTACCATGTCTTCCAAGTTGTTTAAGCAACTCACCCATATTGATCAATGTACTATCATTGACCAATATGCTCTGCCTATTGCAATCAAATGAGAACTTATAGAACTCACATGCATAGTCAACTTTACTAGAAGGTTCACAGAAACAAGAATGTGTCAACTTAACACGATAGGTTACCAACCTCAGGTCATGTGCTAGTGATAACTAAAAGGTTTATTCTTGATTGACTCTTGAAACTATTCAAGGCCATTAAGTCTCACACTGACTCATTGACATATAAGTTTCTTTGTTAAGGAACATTCCTTGACAAGCAAAACCAATATTCAAGTGCTAGTGTGAATTCTTGACAAGAAAACATCTCATTTAATTGGTACTAGTTTATCTTTGTTTTAACCAAAACATCACAACTACCAATTTCAAATGTGCTAGAGTAAGAAAACATTTCTACTCCACATTTCATGAGGTATTATAAACCTACTTAGTTTGAGATGGGATTCAAAGTTAATAGAGTATGACTCTAAAACTTGATTCGGAAACAAAGTATGAATCATCGCTTGATTAAATTATTTCAACAATTATCAATTCCTCTTCTTAAAAACAATTTCACCAAGATGTACTTAGAGGATCAATTGTGACATAGTTCCATAATCATTAAGATGATCATAAACCATAATGCTAAGGTAATCTTCTTTCTTTTCAGATTGGAGAAACCTTTATCTTTCTGCCTTACATATTCTTCTTATTCGTTCTGCTTCTCTTTGAAACTTTTCAAAGTGTCAGAATTACACTTAATCTTATAAGTTTAACCATATTTACTGAACCATCAGTAAATCATGACGAATAGACTTATCGTCCTTTGTGGTGGATCTGACCAGTCTACATCAATGTGTACTAGATCCTTTAGTCCTTCACTTGACTCACATAAACATGTGATCAAGGAATTAGTCTTAATATTCCAAAGATCAAGATTCTCATACATCATACAATTCAAATCGTATGATTCCAAGTTTCTATCCAATTGAAACTTGGGTGATGAGAATTTCTTTTTCACTTGGTTGATTATTACCATAAACGATATAATTAAGAATCAATCCACACTTAACATTGCTAATAATAGAAATATAACCACCAATTTTCATAAATGTCATTTCAAGGAAATGTAAAGTAAATAAGTTAAAACCAAAAATTCACTTTATTGATAAAATGAGGAAAAATTATCCTTACAATGCAAATATATGAAAACTATGTATCTAGACATATTTTTATAAGCAATCTATTAAACTTTAGTCCTTCACTTGACTCACATAAACATGTGATCAAGGAATTAGTCTTAATATTCCAAAGATCAAGATTCTCATACATCATACAATTCAAATCGTATGATTCCAAGTTTCTATCCAATTGAAACTTGGGTGATGAGAATTCATTTTTCACTTGGTTGATTATTACCATAAACGATATAATTAAGAATCAATCCACACTTAACATTGCTAATAATAGAAATATAACCACCAATTTTCATAAATGTCATTTCAAGGAAATGTAAAGTAAATAAGTTAAAACCAAAAATTCACTTTATTGATAAAATGAGGAAAAATTATCCTTACAATGCAAATATATGAAAACTATGTATCTAGACATATTTTTATAAGCAATCTATTAAACTATCATAACTCCTAATCAACAGCTTCAAAATCTGATCATCGAACTATGCGACCGAAATCCATCTTTCACGATCAGATTCAGCTTGATCTTCTTAAACTTACTTCTTTCTCTTAGATCCTGCAAAAACATCAAAATGTGACTAGCGTTCATCTTTTTCGCCGGTGGTGTTCAAATTTTCCGATGATTATGTTAGGAGAGAGAGAGAGAGAGAGAGAGAGAGAGTGGTTTCTATTTGTTTTTTTTTAATTAAAAAAGTGTTAAAGTAAAAAAGAATTGAAAAAAGTAAATACAGAGGGCAAAATTGTCATTAAAAAAGTTCAAAGGAAATTGGACCAAACTTGCGACAAAATGAAAAGTTTGGATCTCTAGTGTTGATCGAAACTTTTTTTTTTGGAGCAAATTGACAGTTTTGAGCTGAGCACAGGACCATTTGTAGTTTAGTCTAAATTATACAAATATCTTATGTTAAACCCTATCGATCAAATCTCCACCCAAAAACCCATCGTCTCCTACGAACTTGTCCTCACGAACTTCTGATTTTATCAATCGGTCACTCACACCAGTGAAGCACTACCGTGTCTCACTTTTTCTTATCTTATCTCTCTCAATCGCTCTCACCACTGAAGAACTGCGGTCTCTCGATTTTTCTTATCAGGTAAATCCCCCACCTTGTTTTTCAATTTGTTCTCTACTTTTTGAGAGTTGTTTGCTCTATTATATGTAATTCTGTAATATGAACGATTAAGAGCCTGAACTAAAGATGGTAAAATCGAATCCCAGTAAAAGAAAGCCGTGAATTTTTGTATTTGATTATCTTCTTCCATTCAAAAGAAATCCTCTGACTTCTGGTAGTGTGGAGTTGCTTTTGAAGTTCCAAATATTGATCAGAATAATATATACTAAAAACTAATTATTAAATCAATTCAATATGAATTTCTGGAACTGTAATCTAAAAGCCACGATGTCAATTTGAATTTGAAGAATAGAATGTTTAAATTTTCAAGATCAAGAGACGACAACTCTAGTGTCAAATTGAACAACTTTATTAGCACTATAAAATTGAATCCTTTAAATTCCAAACCTTCAAATTTCAGTTTATTTGTCAAAACTAAATCATTACTACACAAACCACAAACCAAACGGCCTCTATTTCTTTGATCATCTATATATTGTAATTTTAACCATTAAACAAAATTATAATTAGGGTTAGCTTTTGCCATATTGATATAAACAAGCAAGTGAAATAAGAAAATAAACGGATAGTGATGGTTTTATTGATTTTTCCAAAGTGGAAAATAACACAAAGTCTGTGCTTTAGACATCTGGCAAGAACCAAGTAGTTGAAACACAAATTAAGTCTGTGGCTTGATTGTTGTTTTATTGTCTAGGGTGTATATAGGGTTATAACAACTTTATTCATAAACTCAAGTGTCAACCTAATTGGGATCAAGCATCTGACTGACCATGTAACTTTGGCCTCACCCCAGTCACTCTTAGGCACCCCGAGGGCCTTCCAAACAGCTTTAGATGCATCCTCTGATACATTTTTGAACTGATGATCAAACTGCTGCAGTAGAGGGAAAGAGATTTACAGCTAACCCCTCGAAGAATCAAGTGCATTACATTCTTAGTACCATCTAAATCTTCTTTTGTTAGCTTAGCCGAACTGCTACTGCTGCAGTTAAATCTGAAGGAATCACAGGGGGTGGAAGTGTAAAACAGACAAAAAGATACATGCTTGTTGCTCTACTGGTGCTGACTCTCGCTTTGACCATATATACTGCAAGAACACGCTGAGTGGCATCCAATAGATTGCGATGATTTCCAGTTTTGCCCTTGACTGTGGTATCAGAAGAGAAACCTCTCAGACAACAAACCAAACCGGGAACACTTTCCAGAGTAAAAATCTCTGGACCTGATATGGATGTTTGGAGTTCAAAAATCTGGTGAAACAATAACCAAAGAATCCAGTAACCTTCAACATCATTTATGTCTTGAGTTGCTAGTTTTTGCAAAAGCTGCTCACATGTTCTTTCTACAGCATATGAATCTTTAATTGCCTCCATTATCTTTGACCAAAACTGTAGACCAGGTTTTGATTTAAAAACTTCCACAATGGACAGTCTTTTGCTGTAAAAGGCTTTGAACTTCGCGGGATCACTTCACTTATTAGCACATCTGCATGAAACGAGGAGTTGTTGTTTGTTTTATTATTATTATTATTTTGTTTCAAAATATTTATGCAAATTAATCAAAGTTGTTGTCTTTGTGATACAATAGCATACCCACGCCTACAAATACAAGCAAAAGCATCCCCAATAAATAGCATAGAACCACACTTCCATGATAGTTAACTAATTCATCATAATAATTCTTCTGCTCCCTGAATCCTTTTGATGTATAAGCTGACACATTTTGTCAAGATAAAACAAAATCCAACATGTTTGGGAATATGAAGGATACCCCATTGTGAGGTGGAAGCTCCCAATCATAGGGACAGATGTAACAAGTTGTGCCACTCTAGAGGTTGCAGCCTTGTGCTGTTGAAGATTTATATCTTTGGATTGGTTAGCCAACTGGAGTACCCCATTGTTTTCAAGTGCGAGTAATCTATCATAAATATGGAGATTATATGTATAGCTATAACCAAATCCAAATGTTGGGGATACCTTTCAGTATTTGACTGTGGGCCCATTTGAGTGATGTTGGTTGTAGATAAGGAACTAAAGTTTGTACAACCTCAGAGAGAGACGCAGCCACTTAAAAAGAATACATCATACAGAGATGTTTCTTTGCAGAAATGGGGAAACAGGTTAGTCAATTCAAAGCATATCAAAATATATAATATTAGAAAACCTTATTCAGATATGTAATTCAGTTTTTACATCAGTGCAAGCTCTACAGAATGTAGAAGACAGACAGATGAAAGCTTAATGGCATGGAGCTGAAATGAGGTATTATGGGATTTACTGATTACCAAGTAACAACACTCTAGCCATTACAGTACTTTGATAAAACACCTGCCACCGGTTATCTCTTTCGTGTACTGAAGGAAGTTCTGCTCCAATGACCTCATCTCTATACTCTTTGTCAATGCTCATTAAAACAGTGAAGCAGTTAGTAACCCTTGATCATTTATAGTAAAACCCTAATTAGCACCTAGCAGAATTATACTCATTAAACCTAATCCCAACAAACGCACACAAATTAATTTTCTATTTCCAATGATTAAACAACGAGGTAATTTGATAGTTATTTTAGAACGAAAAATTTGACAGTTTAATTGTATGATCAAGCTGAAACTGGAGAAAGATAAATGAGCGGGACTCGAGAGAGAAAAGGCGGACAACGAGAGAGTGGAGTGTGCAAATGACTTGGTCAACGTTTTTGGCTTCATTGATCGTGGCAATGACTTCTCCGACCTTCTCGAGTACTTTGTTATTAGTGCTTGGTTCACTTCCATTCTTCTTCGCCGCCATTCATGTTCTCGCAGCTCTTCTGCTTCCCGGTGTTTCTACAATATCGATTTCAGAATTAAATTTCATGTTTATACATGGCCAGTCCCTTTACTTTTAGTCATTGTCATGCGAGCCCTTAAATGTTATATATATATATATATATATATATATATATATATATATATATATATATATATTTCTGTCATTTCACAACTTCTCATAGTTCACATTACTAAATGGCAAATTGCCAGAAATTGACGACGTACTTTGTTGCAAGAGGAAATAAGTTGTCTCTATCACTGTTGAAGCGAATGCTAAAGGCCTAAAGCAAACCATGTTGAAGTCGACCATTGGCCCCATGTTATCAACCCTCTACCCGCAAAAGTTATTCCCCATCAAATTAGCGTCTTTTTGTAGTGCATTACCACGAAGCCCACCAATTGTTCGACAAAATACATCAACCAACATTCCAACTATCGAGACCCCCTCTTACAAACTCCCTCCAACTTCAGCTTACGTCCATCTCCCTTTCTGCCGCAAACGCTGTCATTATTGTGACTTCCCAATATTAGCTCTGGGTTCTTCTTCAACAGAAACCGCAGACAATGATCCAAGAATCTCAAATTACATCCATCTTCTTATTCGCGAAATGGAAGCAACGCAAACAAATTTTAACCAACACCCACCTCTTGAAATCGTCTTCTTCGGTGGTGGCACGCCTTCGTTGGTGCCACCAAGACTCGTTGCTAAGGTCCTTGACACATTGAGATCGAAATTTGGGTTGTGTTTGGATGCCGAGATATCAATGGAAATGGACCCCGGAACATTTGATGCAAAGAAACTGAAAGAGTTGATGGGATTGGGTGTGAATAGGGTGTTTTTAGGAGTTCAAGCTTTTCAAGAAGAGTTGTTGAAAGCTTGTGGGAGAGCTCATGGTGTTGACGAGGTTCATGAGGCAATTGAGATTATTAATTCATGTGGTGTCACGAATTGTAGTTTGGATCTTATTTCTTCTCTCCCACACCAAACTCAAGAAATGTGGGAAGAGAGTTTGAAGCTCACTGTTGAAGCCAATCCTAATCATGTCTCAGTTTATGACCTTCAAGTTGAGAAAGACACCAAATTTGGTTCATTGTAAGTTTGTCATTTAATCTTCCTCTTATATTATTTACACAAGTTAACGTGTACACATGATGAACAGGTATATACCAGGTGAGTTTCCACTTCCAAACGACATCCGATCTGCAAAATTCTACAGAATGGCTTCAAAAAAGCCTTTTAGAGGCTAATTACGGGCATTATGAAGTCAGTAGCTATAGCAAAAGTGGATTTGAGTGCAAGCACAATTACACATACTGGATAAACAAACCTTTTTACGCGTTTGGCTTAGGTTCTGCTAGTTATATCAATGGAACAAGATATTCAAGACCAAAGAAGTTAAAAGATTACACAGATTATGTCAAGAATTTGGAGGGTGGATTAGTTGATTTGTCACAAGAAGGTGATGATGTTGATAAATGGGAAATGGCTATGGACATTGTGATGCTTTCATTAAGAACTTCAAAATGGTTGAATTTGAAGAGTTTTGGAGATAATTTTGGGAGTGAGGTTGTTGTGGAGTGGGCATGTGGTGTTTTTGGATGATGAAAGAAGAGAGCTTAAAGAAGATGAGTTTAGTTCTTTGGTTTTAGATGATGAAAAGTTGGAAAATGAGATTGGATTTATTCGGTTAAGTGATCCGGATGGTTTTCTTTTGTCGAATGAATTGATATCACTTGCATTTGGGGTTATTGATCCATGAACAAGTGTTGTAGAAGATGTTTTTTTTTTCAAGAAATTGTTGATGCTTGATGAAGAACTTATTGGAGATCTTTAAAAGTAATGTGATCAATCTAAAAGTGTACTATAATTGCATTTGTTTGTACAAAATGTTTAAATTTTTATTTATGATGAAAATATATTTGGCAATTTGATGCATGAAGAAAACACATTGATAATGTTGATTCCTTTGGCCTGTAGTTGTGTTTATAAATCGAGTCAAGGCAAAGACCTGTCCAATCCAGTTATAGGGTCAAGATGGATGTGTATTGGGTCCTGTTCTTGGAATAGATTAAGATGAACCCTAATGAATATCGTTGTTATTGTTATCCGTAAAATACATAAAATCATCATTTTATCACTTTTATCACATACTATAATTTATCAATTTAGACATAGTTAGGTATGATAATTAGTACTTGTTAAAGGGACATAAAGTCGGAAGAGTCGTGTAGGCAATTAAAGCGTTCTATTGTTATGGATCATGTGAGTTGTTACTTTAATGCTCCATTTCGCCTTTTAGGGTTCCTTAATATTAACTGAAATTAAAAATATAACCATTGATCATTGAAGACCAATTTAAGAATGATTGATAAAGGAAAATGATAAAATTGAATAGACAACTACAAAAAGATGTTTGTCATCACCTAAGCCGAGTTTTGCTTGCTTCTTAACAAGGACTTGAATGGCGGATAAGTGAAAGCACCATCGAGAAACAACTCGGAAACTACTTTATACATAGCCTCGGTAAGGTGAACCCCGTCTCAATTGATATATTGAGATGGGTTTTGACACAAACTCGCAGAATCAGACCCACAAGTACCTGAAAAATCAAAGTTGTAGGGACCACCACTAGACCCACAACAAGCCTTGTAAACCTCGTGGAACCCAAGCTTTGGTACATTCTTGACAATGGAGCGATGAGCTTTCCAGTAATCAGCATAAACAATTATAGCTTTTGGGTATTTGTTGCGTAGGTTTTGGATGTTGGTTTGGAGGATGGTGTTGTAGATGTAGCTTTGGTTATTGACAGTGGCAACACAACCAATGTCATCGCGATCTAACTCTGGCGAGCGGTACATGGCGAGGGTCAAGCAACCGGTTGTGGGGAGGCCTTGGATTACCATATATTTTGCACCTTTTTTGAGCAATGCCTAGCAAAGCAAAAAATAAATCAATAGACTGTAAAACAATTGGTGAACTAGAACATTATAACAATGTTATAATTTGAATAACATTTCATAAAGTATACAAAGTCAATGTTATTTTCAATGTGAAATTAACTTTATATACTCTAAATTAATGTGACATCATGTTAGACATTGTGATCCACATGTGGCATATATGATATTAATATGAATTTCATGTTATGTGAATATATGATCTCAAATTTACATTAACATAGAATTCATATTACTATTTTATTATTATAGTTATATGACTATATCATATAACTAAATTAACTAAAGATGGCACAATGTGTTTATCAATTAAAGGAAATAAAATGTCTATTTTTTTATTATTATAAAAGATTTAAGATTTGATTTTGTGAAAATATTTGGAATAAAATTGAATCATATTTAAAAATGAAGGTATTTTCCATTATTAATTATACAAATTACAAGTAACTGATATGGAGATGAGAGGATAGGAAACATGCGATTAAAATGAACGACACTAGAGGAAACATGTGATTAAAGTTAAATGTCAAATCTTAACGATGTCACTTGTTTTTGTTTTTGTTTTTTTTTTAATGAACATTTTTCATAATAAAATTACATTTTAGGATGATTCCTTTCAATTATTATTTTATTTTGCTTTATATATATATATATATATATATATATATTATATATATATATATATATATATATATATATATACTGTATTATTAAACATATTGCATGCTTCTTGAAAATTAAGAGGTACAATACCTATTACCTGATGTACAATAATATTAAGCTCATAATCACATCGGATATACGTATACACGGTATTACCTTCTATGTTACCCTAATCTTCTCTACACACAACACTAGACACAACAACCGCCATCAGAAAGAAATCGAACCCTCTTCTTTGCGTCTCCTTCCTAATCGCTTCAGAATCTATTAGGAAGGAGAAACGTAAGTTTTTTATATTTAGTCGATTAAACTTTTTCCTTCTTTTTTTTTTGTTGATGATCGAGATCTAAATTATGGATTTGGTTTTGACATTTAACAATTTGACAGACTCACGGAGTGTTGAACGCTGTAAGTTGGGGAGTAATGATGCCAATGGAAGCCATGGCTGCGAGATATATGAAAGTCTTCAAGTCGGCTAACCCAGCATGGTTCTACATCCACGTCACCTGCCAGGCTTCCGCCTATGTCGTCGGAGTAGCCGGATGGGCCACCGGACTGAAACTCGGCAGCGACTCCGTCGGAATCGAATACAACACTCACCGCAACATTGGAATCGCACTTTTTTCCCTAGGAACCATTTAGGTATGCAAAAATCGATCACATTTTTCATAATTTCTTGTCAATCTTGTGTAGAATTGAAACTGATGTTAACAATTTTTCAGGCGTTTGCTCTGCTTTTGAGGCCAAAACCAGAGAACAAATACAGATTTTACTGGAACATCTACCACCACGCCACCGGATACACCATCATTGGTCGTCGCTACAACTTATTAGCGGGTCACCGTCCACCATTTCGTTCGATTCTTAGCAAACAACAACGATCGGATGGGATCAACAAAAGTTGGCTTCTCCTCAAATTACAACATCAAACAATCTCCTCTCCAATCTGTATCTTTCTATTCTCTATTCTTATGCCGTAATTTATGTCCTAAAACCCTAATTTTTTCTAAATCGTTAGTCAGACAAGGGTTATTCTTCTTCCAAATGTTAATTTTGTGTCAATCGCTCTTTTGAGTGTTGATGAGTTGTTGCTTAAGTTTATTGCTAAGTTTTGCAGGTTGGTACTTTTTAATCACCGGTTGTTATCAATACTCAATCTGTTAAGTGCTGAGTTGATGCGTAAAGTAAGTAAAGTTTAGTGTTTGCTATCTTATTTTCATCATACTTGGTTGTTTATTTCCTTGCAGATGGATGGCTTTGTGTTGCCACCTACCGAGTCAACTGAAATCTTGAAAGATAATGAACTTTTCTGGTAGTTAAAATTTTTAGTTTTATATTAACCATCCTCCAGTAAATATGTAATCATATGTTTAACAACTATGCATTACTTTTTGTTATTTTAGTATAAAAAAGAAAGACGGGGCAACACCTGATGCAGAAATATTGCTTGATGAAGTGGAAGCTGATGAAGAGCAGTTGCAAGATGAAGAACCAGTTTCTAAGAAAAGAAAAGCCTCCATTAAACTTCAAAACTCGAAGTAAACCTTATATCTTGTGTACCTTTTGTCACATTTGTGAGCAGATTTATATTCTATTTTCACTCTTCAACTGCTAATCCATCAACATTATATTTTCTTATTAGGAATATTATCATTCTCTCGATTGGATTCATGTTAGATTTTCATTTTGCAGTCAAGATTGTAGTTGGTGGCTTAGTACAAAAGATTTCCAGTAATACCCCTCCTAAAGATTTGATCTGTGTGCCAGCTAAGCTTGAGAAAAGGACACGTTCGTGGTAATCGTAGCACAGACAACATTATGCTTGACAACATTATGCTTGATCTTGCCAACTCAATTGGAAAAGGAAAGATACCCATGTAGGTCAGATTACTAAAATTCTAAAATAGGGTAAAACAAGAGCGGTATTTTTGACTTTTTGTCAAAATATATAGTTTTTATAAAACATTTTACAGGTGCTTAAAGATTTTGGCCAGTTGATTAATCTTACACTTACCCATGCTAAAAATCGTCAACCTTTATCCGGATCCACAACATTTAACCGAATTGAGCTTCCAACAAATAAAGATCCATTAAATGGTATCCATTTTATTTTATTCATTATCTTATTTTATAATTTATCTTACTAAATTATAAATACTTTTTTAGCATTGTATGTTGGTTCACATGGGCTTTACACTTCAGAACTGATTCAATTAAGGCGTAAATTTGGTCAGTGGAAAGAAGAAGGCAACATGAAAGAGCTTTCAAATCTTTAGTTTTATGAATATATAGAAGCAGTTAAGCTAACAGGGGATGCTTATGTGCCAGCTGGACAAGTAAACATGTAAACATTTTCATCCTTATGTGCCAGCTTTCAAATCTTTAGTTTTATGAATTTGTAATGCATAGGGAAATGATGCAGGAATATGCTGGTGCAATGCAAGATGAACATGTTAGTGGGCTTCAACTAATAAAAGATTCCAAATGGGTGGCAGTAAAACCCAACCCCGATGTCCTTTTTGTTAACATTGGTGACCTTTTTCAGATATATTTCTTTTACCATTTGCATATTGTGAACCCCTGTTTTTGGCCCTTGAATATTGCAATAATAAGAATTACATCCGAATAATATATAGTCATCTAGGAATAGTGAATCAAATCGAGAAGCAAATTGCCTGGAGAAAGATGAACATGTTGGTTCTCTTAAAGAAAGATTTTGAATTTTTCAGATTTTCCAACCTAAGGTTTACCCCAAAATCATAGAAATAGCTTCACTTTCATCTCAATTGCATGATGTGTGCATCTGTACTGTCAACATGTTATTTTGATTAAATTTGTTACCATTTTTTATTATTATTGTAATATTTCTTCATTGATAATATAGTCAAGTCCAATTTGGGATATATTCACGAACATAAAGCAGGTTGACAAACAAGTACATGCCTAAATGCTCATTTTTTGTTGGATATTGTAAGAGAAATG